ACCTCGGGTTGGACCGGTATCGGCTTCTTGTTTGTCTGCAATTTAGACGCATTTGATTAATTATAAAAGATGATTTCTGATATTCCGAATAGACGTCTTTACTGAAACTCATTTTCTGACTGAAATATAATTTTTAACCTGATCTAAGGCGACGCTGGGCAGTTTTTCGATCACCGGTTTCTTCTCCTCTTTCTTGACATGGTCAGTTTCAAGCCCCGTAGTCATAAAATCGGCTAGCTTGTTCAAGAAATCCATTGCTAGGATCAGATTGAAGCTAGATATCCTCATATCAACTGCGGAAAAGAGACGAACTTATAAGAATGACGTAACGTATGAGTGTATAACTAACAGTCACGAACTATGTGTTTGCTCACTTGGCCTTTCGAACTGAATAACCGTACTTCAGTATTCGTATAGTGAATCGTAAATCGTTGGTTTGCCTGATATTGTGGATGGCTCTGCTAAATACGAACTGGCCACCTTGGACTCAATAGACAAGCGTGCTAAGAGGCTTATAGGTGACTACGAATTAGTAGAGGCGAAGTTACAGAGCCTTGAACACCGCCGCAGAGTTGCCAGCTAGAATACCGATAAGTATTCTAAAGGATGTATCACGGAGTGTGCGATAGAATTGTATAATTTGATTCCGCATTCCCCTTTGCATCATCGGGGGACTAGACATGGGCTGGGGCTCCACCCCTTTGTTGTGGATATTCCCCGTAAACGCACGAAGCGTTTCGCTTCCATATTTGTATGGCGAGCGGCTAGGGAGTGGAATTTCCTGCCTGCAAACTTGTTCTCCGAAAGCTATAACTTGGACTTTTTCAAGGCGAGGCTGAATAGGCATTATTTGTGTGTGTTTGGTGTACATGCTACATCCTGGACCTCATCGTCACTTTCCATCAGGTAAGATGAAGGTCAAATGCGCACTTACTTTTTATAAAAAAAAATGGAAATACTTTTTGTTTCCAAAACAAAAAACTTACTAAAAGTGTCAGAGTTCTTCAACGTGTACGTAATATCAATCATGCTGCGTATTCTCTCTTGTGTATCTTTGGCAACGTCAACTTCTTTCGTAGATTCGAAGAGCGTCTGGTGTAGCGCGTCATTAGATATTTCAGAATCTGCTACCTGGTGCCGACGACGCTCCAAGTATCTAAAATAATTTCAAAATTCTTTAAGTAAATTTTTAAGCAACTCCAACTAACTACGCACTAGCGAAACCCTGTATCGCGGGTGCCATGGACACACACATAGACAAGAACAAATCACCCTCCAACTCACAAGAGAAATAAAGTAGGCCATACAAGCATTTCTCCGAGAATCGAACCCGGGATCATACAAACATTTCTCCGAGAATCGAACCCGGGATCTCTGAAAATACAGAGTCCACTGAACATCAACGTCGTAGCACTCAGTGAGACGACATTAAGCTGAGTGGATTACGTAATAGCACAGTGTACGCTCTATTATTCCAATGTTAGTAGTTAATTCATTTATTTAGTTAATAAGTCGAATTATTTATTAATAAAATTTGTACAATTGTATTTTATTATGTGTCAAATCATACAACGGGTGTGTACTGTGCTGTACATTATTAACGGAATAAACAATTTTCTTTCTTTCTTTCTCTGCGTGACACGCCAACATTGTAACCATTCGGTCACGGAGACAGTTGATATATATAAACAAATTCCAGAGATTAGAAAACGGTAGTTTCTTAATTGAGTGGTCAACGATTCGAATCTCTCTGGCGGCATGTACCAATGACTTTTAATTTCTAAGTATTATATATATTTGTGAATATTTAATAGTACACAACCCTTGGAAAACTTTCAACTTAGAGGAAATGATTAATCTTTCCTTTTATGAAAATAAATACGTAGTACCTAGTGATCTTTGTCCCCCTGCCAGGTCGCATGTCGTCAAGTGTACAGTCGACCAGAAGAACGGATGTATTTATCGAGTTATCGGAGAACAAGCGCCCCTTCAGCGACAGCAAAGCCAGGCAGAACCGCGCCAGTTCCACGTCTTTCGTGGAAGGAAGCTAAAAAGTATTATTTTTAATTTTAAATAGACAATTACATGTTGGAGCACTATTCTCCAACTATAGTCGTCACGAAATAAGAGGCCAAATTTGACAGCTAAAGAAGGCGATAATATATAACTTTGAATGCGATCAACGAAACAATAATCAAACAATTATTAGCATAACTGAGTTTCTAAAAATACGTAAATTTTATTGAAACATTATAATATGATAATAAATGGACCTGTATTGATATTGATAAGTTAGGCTTGACATCCAATACGTTTACATTTGTTAGTGACGCGCATGGTTCAACTAGATGGTTGGACCATTGCTTAGTAACGAAATCAGCTCTTAGCTCGGTGGATAATGTTTATGTTAAGTATGATTTACTATGTTCGGATCATCTACCCTTAATTGTAGAATTTAAGTTTAATTTAATTCAGCGTAAACAAAAAGAATATGATGGAGAAAAACATTTCGATAAAAATGTTATTTGGGGAAATCGAACCACCGATGAAATCCAATCTTACTGTGAAGAGTGTCACAAAAGGTTGCGAGAAATTGACTTTGCTACGGAGGAGCTTTTCGAGCTGTGTTGACAAACGTTGTAATGAACGAAAACATAGGGAAATTATTGATAAAATGTATTGTGACATTGTCACCGCTTTGAGTCAGGCGGCAGCGGTCGGACGGACGTCTGGTCGTGCTCGGCTGAAACAGAAACGTGTGGTGGGCTGGAATAGGCATGTGAGTGACGCTCACAGGGAGGCCAGGTTCAGATTTAAGATGTGGTTGTGGCACAATAAGCCTACTAAAGGTGCTGTCTATGAAGCGATACGCGAAAGTCGTAAAACATTTAAATCCAAATTAAAATGGTGCCAAAACCATAAAGACCAGATTAAATTGGACTTGCTGGCTCAACACCACTCTAAGCGCGACTTTCGGGCGTTTTGGAATAGCACAAATAAACAGAATACTAAGCCTGGCCTACCAGTGTCTGTCGGTGGTGTGAGCGGTGATAAGCAAATAGCGAACTTGTTTCGACAGGTTTTCACAGTGGAGCCACTTAACACTGCCGACAGGGAGCTGTACGATGCTGACACACAAAGTGAGGACCTGGTTATTAGAATCACTGCCAAGGATGTCGCTAAGGCTATCAAGTCAATTTCTAGAGGCAAATCACCAGGTCACGACGGTCTCAGTATCGAGCATCTTCAGCATGCCGGTCCACATCTACCGCGTGTGTTGGCAATGCTTTTCACCCTCTGCGTGGGGCATTCGTATTTGCCGGCCGGACTAATGAGAACGGTTGTAGTCCCTATAATTAAAAACAAAACAGGAGACTCATCTGATAAAACTAACTACAGACCGATCTCATTGGCAACTGTGGTCGCCAAGGTGTTCGACGGTATGCTGAATGAACACCTCAATAAGCTCATCACGCCGCATGACAATCAGTTTGGCTTTAGGCCTAAATTGTCAACGGATAGTGCGATAGTGTGTATGAAGCATGCCGTCGGGTACTACACGGCCAGAAGTACGCCAGTGTACGCTTGTTTCCTCGACCTATCAAAAGCCTTTGATCTGGTTTCCTACGACATTCTGTGGAAAAAACTAAGTCAAGCAAAATTGCCACCTGAATTGATCAGCGTTCTAAAGTTTTGGTATGGAAACCAGGTCAACAATGTGCGATGGGCAGGTGCTCTGTCAGACTCGTACAGGTTGAGGTGCGGGGTGAGGCAAGGGGGGTTGAGCTCACCAACGCTCTTCAACTTCTATATAAATGAGCTGATTGTCGCGCTGAGCAGCCGCCGTGTCGGATGTCATGTGGACGGTGTCTGCTTTAATAACATTAGCTACGCAGATGACATGGTGCTGCTGAGCGCGTCAATAAGTGGCCTACGAGAACTCGTAAATATATGCGAAATATATGCTCGTGATCACGGACTTAAATACAACGCTAAGAAAAGTGAAATCATGGTTTTCAAATCTGGGACCAAATGTCCGGCGGATGTGCCTCTTGTCACGCTGGCAGGCGTACCCCTGAAGCGGGTGAATAGTTTTAAATATTTAGGTCATGTGGTCACCGATGATTTAAAGGACGATGCGGATATTGAGCGCGAGAGGAGGGAGAGTGAGCATGATAGCTCGCAGGTTTGCACGGTGTTCATTTCAGGTAAAATTAACATTATTTCGTGCCTTTTGCACCTCATTTTATACGTGCAGCTTGTGGGTTAGACATACGCGACGGGCGCTAGACTCCCTTCGCGTTCAATACAACAACGCATTCAGGGCGCTGTTGCGGCTGCCCCGCTTCTGTAGTGCGTCGGGAATGTTCGCAGATGCTCGTGTGGATTGTTTCCATACCACTATGCGCAAGAGGGCAACCTCGATGGCACAGAGGATGCGGGCTAGTGGCAGCAGCCTTCTGAGTGTGGTCGCGGGTCGCACTGATGGTCCGTTCATGGGGCACTGGATGTCTTTACATGCACCAGTGTTTCATAAGTATTATTAGGTTAATTGACATAAATGAATGAATCGAAAGAAAAATTGATTTAATTACTTTTAATTTAATTTAATTTTAATTGACTTTTGCCGATTTGTAAATATTCTGACATGTTTTATTTTATTTTGATTTATTTTGTGATATTTTGATTTTGATTTATTTATTGTGTGAATTTCTTTAATTTTAATCTTTTTAGTCTTTTTTGTAATATTGGATGTGACTTATCTGAATAAATAAATGAATTATTATTAATTATTATTATTATTATTATATAATATGACAAAACATATTTGAAGTACTGTTTTCGCACGAATTCCAAAATAAAATGCTATTTTGAGTTACCCCGAAACGTCCTGAAAACACGTCCACAAGCTTTTTTTTTAATAACAGTGTTGTAAGCAATTAGTCGCCGAATTTCACCGAGTCACTTCGATTTCTCGGAAATATTTTATATTTAAAAAAAAGATCCAAAAAATTATGAGCTTTATTTGAGATTGTTTGTCGTTGACATTGACAACTTCTAACTTATTGCCAGCCGAGTAATTGAAAATTTATAAAATCCTTGGTTTCTTGGTAATTTAATCTTTTTATGTAGTTGTTTTATCGATGAACATACTTATTTACACAAAATTCTCGTAATAAATTTATGAATATTATAAAATCTAAATTAAAAGAATTGGATACAATTCATCGGAACGTGGGACAATTTTACGAAAATAAGAGGAATTGCTACAGAATTGCAAGGAATTCTGTAAATAAATTGCTTTAAACAGAATTGCACGATTTGGTCTTTTAGGCTATCAGAATAACAATGAACCGAAAAATAATCTAAACAATCACAAACTCTTAAAATTTTTAATCGATTTCTCGTGAAAATCGTATAATATGATTAGCGATAAGATTAGTCCACATCCCTATTCGCGTCACGATGACAAGTGTCAAATTTGGCCTCTTACTTGGTGACGACTATAAGTAGTATTCAAAACTTATGATAAGTATTATTATTCTTATTCCCTCAAGTTGACATATTTGTGAGTTTTCCATCAGGTACATATCGGAGAGTGTGCGCAGGAATATTTATACTTTTAACAGTCATACTACGCACATTTCGGATTAAGTTCAGGTCTCTCAATCGAGAGTGATGTCCTAAACCTTAAGGTTCACACACACGCTCCAGTATTACACTAAACGTCTAACGCCTATTGCATAAAATGTTTTCTAGATTTATCCAAGGCGTTCGACCTCGTGTCGTGCAATGTTCTCTGGACCAAGCTGTAAAAACAGAACGTATCGGCAGAGATGCGTCCCATGTTCCAGTATTTTTACCATCATCAGATAAATAGTAAGCGGTTAAGTTCTCAGACCCATACAGGTTGAAGTGCACCAGCGGGAATATCGTCGCCCTAGCTCTTCAACCTATGTGTGATCGATTTTTTTTTATAATACCAAGTGATAGGATGAACAAGTCGTGCCCCTTGTGGTAAGCGACACGTCTATCCAAAACAGTTGCAGTGCCACTCAGTGCTTTAAAACACAAAGATCTGAGGAGCACTGCCACTGCTCCCGTCACTCTGAGACCTAAATTGACAAGTCCTATGTACCTGTAATTTCACAAGCACCCTTACCCTTCAAAACCGTAACACACTAATTCACATATTATTGCTTAGCGGCAGAAATAGTAAGGTGGCAGCCCTTCCCTGGACGAACTCTTGATCGTGGGGCTCAGCAATAAACATGTCGGATGCCGAATTCATGACGTTATTGTCAATAATATTAGTTACGCAGATGACATGATCCTGGTGAGCCTAACGGTCAGAGCGCTTGAAGTCTCTTTCGTATGTGAAATTACACGGCTTAACGTACAATGTAAATGCCGTAAAATGTGATGTTGGTCTTTAATAATAATGATTATTTTCTCAACACCAGGAAACAAACACTTATTTTATAAAAGACTAACAATTTTAAATGTTATGTCCCTTGAGAGAGACTGGAGACCGTACTAGGCAACTAAATCTGTATTACAGCTCACTAGGCCTTTAAGGCCGCCGGCGCCGGGAACAAGCAGCTATGTTCCACTTATAAAATTAAACAACGAGCGGGTCTATCAATACAAGTACCTCGGCCATTTTTTCACCGACGACTTTAAAGACTTCATGAATATTGATGATATTAGATTTTATAATTTTTCGCCTCACGTCTGTGGCAAGGCCTATGAGCGTATTTACTACAAATTTTATAATTTTAGTACCTACTAGCAATTTTATTAATAATATTTTTAGTAACAAATAAGTGCTTTTCTGTAAATAAAAATTATTATTATTACAAAACTGAATACTTTTTTTAGACACACGTGTACCATTATCGGTCACTTCATCGCTTAACATAGAGTGAGATTGTGGTCAAGGGAACATTATTTTTTAATTTAAAAACGGGTAAATACACTAGAGGAAAATCCACACCATACAGTTTAAATGACACATGCGGTAAGAGCAATTACGTCCACGTAATAAATTATCAAATAAAAATAATACATACCTCCTCAACACTACTTAGGAGGTCAATAACAAAACTCTCCATAGTGAAACAGAATTTAATAGTGGTTTTCGCACGTTTTGTCTCAGTGTGAGTTGTCACTACTGCAGTGGTGGACGGAGTACGAGATTGAACCTTCACATTGGTCTTCATCACAGTTTGACTCTTCGAAGACAATTTGGTGACCGTCTTTTTTACCTCTTCCATTTTTTCCTGGCCTTCTTGGAGATTTTGGTTCAAAATTTTCATTATACTTTTGTAATCGCTATGGCCTACAGTTATCTGGAAACGAAGCAGAATGAAATCAATAAAAACACTGTAAGTATGTTAGGAAAGTATACAATCGAACGATTTAGTTGAACGACAAAAAATGTGTCAACAAGATTTTACCACTTGAACTGAATTTACACTTTACACTTTAATAATGATATGGGCTTATTGATGGCGAATAGTGGACACAATAATTATCATTTAACGAACGTTTCTTACTTACTTCCTGATAAAATCAGTGGTAATAGTGTTTCCTTACGGTTATATTCCAACATAATATATAAGGCCATAAGTCGACCTAGTAGAGGGCGATCTCGAAACACGCACTCCCAAGCGGCTATTTAAGATCTTGAGAAAAAACCAACTTATCAGAGTTTACACAAAAGCTGATTAACTTACAGCAATAGTCTTCATTCGGCCCGATATGTCCAAATCGGGCAACTGTTCGTACCACATGGAGAGGTTTCGTTTAGCGAACAGTTTGAAGCTCGTCGGGCGTAACAACTTTCGTTCGTTGGTGAATTCGTAGTCCACTTTATCCTTTACCAGGTTCACGCAGGATATTTTCATGTCTTCCAAATCTAGCGTCAACTCATCCACTGTCACTTTATTTGTTTGGTTAGCATCATTTTGCTGCAAAGACATACAACATTATTATTATTCAAAATTTGAGATTTCCACAGTCATGGCAATGTTTACGGGATGGTTTTTAAAGTCTTGCCTAATAATTTTACAATTAGGACACATACACACATCAGAAGAGTATGAGGTCACTAAAGTGCGAAATATTTAACTAAACCAGCGATTGTACATCACGCACCGGCAGTTTAGATCGGGGCAGCACTGTCGGGGAGACTAAAGCTTGTACCGCACTTATCAGCACGCTTCAGAACCAAGCGTGCTGACGACGTTTGATTTGAAATACACTTTAATATAATCACCGTGATGATGCGCCTAACAAGTGGGGTTCAACTCTTACCTATATCATTAGGACCAGCATGGCGTGATGAAATCATATAAGCTGTGACATTGACAGTTCTCGAGTAAATAACGAAGCACAAATGCACATCAATGACTTTAATCGCATATTGAGCGTTGTCCAAATTTATAGCCTAATTAATGCAGTGCAGGGTCTCGGTCACTCGAGATAGTATCATATTAAAAGATGGCTTGAGATGTATTCTGAATATCAGCTGTTTATTAATACGGGCCTAAAACCATAAACTTAACAAACAATACTCACAGCACCGACATGCATATCAACGAACTTGTTATTCAAGGTCATCCGCCCCAAATCGATGAGCAAAGCGTTCATGCTGGAACTGTTCTCTGGAATGATGATAATGGGTGCTGCGAACCGAACGCGCATAGCCACTTTGGTGGAGTTTTGGTACGCGTTCTGGACGTTGGCGCGAGCGGCGTCCGCGGCTTGGGACGACGCTTCGATGATCGCTTGCTGTGCTTCTTGGAAGTTATTAAGGAATTCCTGTCAAAGTATACTTTTATTATTAAGAAGTACCTATATTTACATTTCAACTGTACTCTGTAGACGACATTTATACATATGTTAGTATGGACACATCTTCGACGTTCAGAGCGTATATATAATACAACAATAGATTGTAATTGACATAAACCTGGACGTTAATAATATAGCTTTATTATGGTTATCTATTTTTAAATTTTCGGCTTTGATGACCTAAATAATAACATTTTGAATACGTAATTTATTTTTATTCATTTATTTATTATTTGGAAGATTTAAATTAATTTAAATTTTTATCAACGGATTAGAAGTAACAATTGACAGTGCTAATTACAAATCTCCACAAGTAGCCAATGAAACTTTTTATTTGGATGTAAATTACGTATATTTGTTTTATCAAACAAACTAACGTCGGGTCTTCCCATTACGGCTGACAATGAGACCTGTAAAGGGCCCGGTACGTTGGTCCGTTTGAAAAAATAAATATACGCCATTTAGATAGGAAAAAATAATTTCATTTCCTATGTGTAACAATCGCGAAAACCTAAAAACTCGATAAACAAATTTTTAAATTCGAGAGGCAGTGGTATTGGTAGTCGGCCGGGCTCAGGGATTCAGGTTCAAGACGCCTCAAGTTGTTACCGAGTCTGGCTGAAAAATACCCGTCTGCACATAAGATTATTGAGATTATTTCAGGGCAGGTCACACCTCACAGAAATCCGTATGCAGCGCAAGTAATCACCGACATTACAGGTGATCACGTGCGCTACATAGGGAATACTTCCCACGTTTGTCGATTTCGGCTGTTACGAGGTCTCTCGTCATGTTGGATGGCATCGTTAACGGACTAATTTTATTTTCTTCAAATTTGAATCATTTTATTGAAATCAAAATTGTATTAATTATCACTTCACGTACCAACATGGAACTGATGAACCAATTGAGGAAGACGATTCGCATGCAGCTGATCTGCGCGTCGATGGACATGTTCACGTCGCTGTCACGCGGCTGTGCGTGATCCAGGTTGTACATTATCAACTGAACGGCTATTATGTCACCGCCCAGTACTTTCACAATCTATGGATGGATATATTTTGTTAACGGAAAAATCCTCAGTTCAGTGTGTTACATTCACGTATCCCACAGATTCTATTATTCACATCGTCATCGTTTACTTGTCCTATATCATAATATCAGAATAATGCCTTTAAGAAGCGTGTTGTTTATTAGGGCAATTACAAACTGGACCCTAGAGTGTCTGATAAACAAGTTTAAAGTAATTAACATTCTTACACCGGCGTCCCATATGCCTGTAATTTCAGCGACACCCTTACCCTTCAAACCGGATTGAAATCTATTCCATAAGTAGGCAATACTTCCCTGGACTAACTCTTTCACAAGGAGTTCTCTACTGCAAATTTTGTGAAAGGTAAATAGTGATAACTATAACATTATTACGATAAACAGAAATAATCTAGCTGTTCGTGACAGCATTCATCACAAAATCACAAATTCCTTTAAAGGACAATGTATAATTGCATATGCTTTCATAATAAGATTCCTGTATATAAGATCTATTTCAAAACTAACGAGAAACAAAGACTTTATACAAAAGTTCAATTATAGAAGTTCTGCGTATTTAGACAGCAAAAAATCTATGCAAGTCATCGGTTTAGTTTTTCCAGATTGTATCTACCTACGATATTAAAAAAGAATATTATGATTTTTTTTTTTATAATATTGACGGAAGAACAAGTCGTGCGCCTGATGGCAAACTACACGCCTGTCCATAACAGTTGCAGTGCCACTCAGAGATTCAAATCACAAAGATCTAAGTATATATCTGAATATATAAGACATAAGTTGACAAGTCCCATGTGCCTACAATTTCACCAGCACCCTTACTGTTCAAAACCGGAACACAGCAATGCTTTACTGCTTCGCGACAGAAATAAGTAAGGTGGCAGTATTTCCCTGGACGAACTCTTTCACAAGAAGCTATACTGCTTACAAAAAACATTATAAATGTGTTTTTCAAACAAATATTTGCGATTCAGATCACGAACAAATAGATTCATTTTTAATTTTTCTCGAAAATCTAAGAACAGTCAATAAATATCTATGTAAATGTAAGTTATATATAAAGGACATATACGGGTTTATACCCGAGACTGTCTTATGTGTCCCACATGCAAGTGAGCGAGATGAAATATAATAAAACAGATTGAAAGATGTCTCCGGTGTATTTGATTTTCCTTGTATTTTCAAAGAGGCTGCTGAGTTCCTTACTCATTCTTATCAGTGGAATCTGTCTCAGGAATGAATAGTAGTGTGTTAAATCTAAAAAACTAAAATTTACAGTAGCGTGTACAAGTTACCTCCATGTGACGACTGCTGGCATTTAAATCGTTGATATTAATTGAAACCATCGAGCAATCTACTTGAGTGTACGACGATTTTACAATGAGTCCTGCGCTTGCACCTTCTAGCTTGATCACAGATAGGGGACGCACGTCTGTCGCGAATTCGAATTCTATAGCTTCTACCATAGCCTTCATTTTAAGTTGTATGCTTTCTACTTGCTGCTTCTTTTGTACTCGCGTGACGTTTACTATAAAAAAATTGTTAGTCTACAATTATTATGTAGTAACAATAAAAAAATTTACGACATTTCACAACCGATTTGCACAGTAAACTTGAGCTAAGATTAGGTTGACCATGTCGCTGTTTCGGAAGGTATCTGTCTTGTATTTACTGCAAGGGAGACGATATCCGATTGCTACCACTGTAGTGGTTACCCCGAGGAGACTACCGAGCACACGCTGGAGGTCTCTGCCCGACCTGGATGGAGGAGCACCAATCATTTTATACGCTTCTGGGAAGGGATCTCTCTCTCCCGACCCTAGCTCGCGCCATGACCGATAGCGAAAGGTCCTAGTCACCTTCTGCGGAACCGTCCTATCGCAGAAGAAGGCGGAAGAGGCACAGAGAAACTGCGGCCACTGTTGACATCTGACGCAGGAGGACAGGGAGAAGGCTGCGTGATCTTGGTCGACACCTTCTCCCCGTAGGGAGTCATGGCGAAGAACGTGACACGACGAAGAACGTGAGGATACACGTTAGTCGTTTGCATGAGGCTTGAGAGTGTGTCACGCCTCTCATTAGGCTATGAAAGTAGTAGTTGCTCCTCTCCTCGTTCCTTAGCGAGGTCAGCCCGGAAACGGGTAGCCACCACCCAGTCTTGGAAGAATGCTTTGGCGACCTCAAGATTTCCCCGCATAAATAAAAAGGTTGAACGTGTCGTGATCAAGTAATGTGACTCGCATTTTATTCTAGAAAGAAGCCATTATCACAAAATAATAAACTGCCTCCGTGGCCGAACGGTTACCATGCCGGACTGCCACGCAGAGGTCCCAGGTTCGATTCCCGGGCCGAGAGAAATAGTTGTATGGCCTACAATTATTTCTCTCGTGAGTTTGGGTGTAATTTGTGGTTGTCTATGTGTGTGTCCATGGCACCCGCGACACAGGGTTTCCCTAGTGCGGGGCAATGTTGAGTGTGTGCGTTATTTATATTTATTATAATAAAAAAGGAAATTTTGCAGAACCTCACATAGAACCAACAATGTTCAAAAAATTGAGATTATTAAAGGGTACACAGCCCACAAAGAATGAAAAAGTTCTGACTAACCTTTAACCTTGCCGGTAGTAAATTCTTCATCTTCCATTATAGTTTCCAACGGGCCAGCGCTGGCAACTCTGTCAACTGAGTTCTGTATCGCTTGAATACGAGTCTAAAACAAAATTAATTTGACCATAAGGCGAATGTCGACTAACTAGGAGGGGCACTGCCACTGCGCCCGATACCCTGACCTAACACCCTTCAAAACCGGAACATAGTAATGCTCAGACTACTGCTTGGCGGCAATAATAGGTAAGGTGGCAGTACTTCCCTGGACGAACTCTTTGACAAGGAGACCTACTGCTACTAAATGAGTCTGAATTTCAGAACTTCAAACTTTACGGTTAGGTCCATGGTTAAAAATTGTTATACCCATGGTACCGAAACAAATACTAATAAATAGGGAAAATTCGCCTCGCAAGTCGCCGTGCTGCGGAATCATTTGTGGAGTCGTAACACGGACACTTGGCGCCAAGAGAATTGATTCACAACAACTAAATTAATTCTCTTTGCGTGTAGTGCCAATACAATTTCATACTTACCTAACTTTAAGAAATAACCAGACATAAAAAACAAACCTGGTACTCATTGACGACGACCAATATTTCTTTTAAACTTTCGAGATGGAGCATCAACCGTAGAGTGGTGAAGTTCAATTCGATCAATTTTTCCACTGAGCTGTGGTAGCTTCGGAACTCGGGACACGACTTGTCTACCTGAAGAGAATTAAAAGGTGATAAATTACTTATTCACCTCGATTTGTGGTGCTAGTAATGATGTTAGATTTGTCTTGTAAGAAGAAGTACATTTCTCACAGATGGCGCAACCGCAAAAAAGTCGTTAAAAACCAAAACAAATATCTGCAACAATCACATAGAAAAATTCGTAAGGTTGGATGGAGGAATGTTAAACTGATTCGTTTCATGGTTAAGTTGGTACAGCGTTTAGCACGGTTTGCTAGGTGACGCTGATTCGAAGCCGGATCGAAGGATTTTTTTCTGAATGTTCGAACTTTTTATTAATAATTGTAAAACACTAATTGAATACCATGATGGTGAAACATCCCGACATACAATAAAATAAATTAGTGATAATTTCATTCATTTTTCATTCATCATTAATTTAAATTAATACATCTACCGGCTAAAGCACATAAGTAAATTTCATTTGCTACTTTATTCTAGAGGCGTCTTTTTCGAATTTATCATTCTCTTCACATCTTCCGATATTTTAAATAACACAAAAAATATATAATTACATATTAACAAATGAAGTACTTTTTTTACTTATATACTTTGTCCGCCGACCCTAGATTTGGTCTACAAGATTTCGCAATATAATTTAAAAATTTAAGAATTATGTGTTGCAATCTCCATAAGACATTTTTTCTATCGTTGTCGTTTAGTACCACAATGGAAAACCTCGGTTGGTATGAGTTTCCGTGGTTACAAAGGGACTTAAAAAGAAATACGAAAACTTTATTTGGAATCAAAAAGTTCAAAAATCGCTTTTGCTCATTGCACATTTGTTCGTAAGTAAGATTTCTACAACATACGCACAAAATCAGGTTGAGCTCACTGCCAGGCGACATGCTAATACTGCCTGTTCGTCGCTTTTATAACCTAATAACATGAAGATTTAGAGGTTCTTTGTCCGACTGCTGAGCCTCCTTTAAGGAGAGGCAGACTATAGTCTGACATCCTGGCCTAATGCGGGTTAGCTTTAGCGACTTCACAAATTGTCCAAGAGTTGTGAACCTTCTTCGTCATGCAGAATTCTTCACCGTTAGCGAAAGTCATTGCTACTAAACAATCACAAATGTATATATATAACTTAGCAATTAAAGTTATAAGTACATACAGCAATAGGAGTTCAAACTGTCAACTTCTCATTTGTTAAGCAATCGTTCTTCCACGCTCTAAAGAAAACTGGAAAATTCAACCAGGTTGCTTAGTACGGGTGTTTACAGACGTCTCTTAATGTTAGTAAAACTGAAGATATCGTCAGTATGTCTACATTTAGTATATTTTACGAGAAATTAATACTTACATTGCAATACCGTATAGTGAACAAATACTCGTGAAGGTCGGTAGGCAATGATTGACGGCGAGCAATAGTTTTCACGTCAGGTGTCTCAATCAGTTGTATCACCCGGAATCCTTGTCGGTGATGATTCATGTTCACTGCTCCAAGACGCACAGTGCAATCTAACGTGAACGTCTTTTGGGTGACTCTTAGTTCGAGCAAATTTAAAGAGAACACGAGGAATTTTTCATATTTCTGGTCTGTTTCGATGAAATCTTTATGGTTGACACTTAGTACCAGTTCTGTAAAGAATGTAGGTTTATATAATAGACTAAGTAAGGATTGTTTATGTAGTTTTGTAACATCGGCATTAACCATTTTTATTTATTTATTTCCAAAACTTAATCTATTATTACAGATTATCCACCCAATGCAATTAACCAGCAAAATTACTAAATATTACATAACATATTAAGCGCTATCTTTGTGAATTCACTCAGAGAACAGTGGAACAGATCGATCCTATTCGATATTTCGTTTAGGGTGCGCAATGTGCGCGTCAGCGGACGTTCCACCTAGAGATTGGGTCCTTCCACGCGGCAGCGCCATTAACTGTGGTCGACGATGCAACGTCGCCCCACGTACCTCTCAGGAACACACAACCCTACTACCCCTAGTAGCATCGGATTGCATAGCATCTCTGATTACTTTCAATAAGTTCCTGTGCACGTGTAGCTCGTTGTATCCCACCATACCCAATATGCACAAATTAGGATACATCAGGGGGTAGAAGCAAACCTCCAATACAAATATTTTAGGAATTTGTTGTGAATGCACTCCAGCATATGACTATACCGCGTTTGATGTGGAGCCCAGACTATCGCATTACAACCGAGGAGGCTACTTACAAGGACATTATACAATGCAATAGTAGCACTAATATTATACTCATATATATTTTGGTCTGTTACGATGTCCAAGAGATGGAGGACAAGCCCGGCAGTGCAAGCGTTATGAACTCTAACTAAAGTAAGATATCAAGTCTTCCAAGAGATTTTGTTTTTAACACGATATCGTCTTAGTGTTTGTACCTGTTTTAAATATCCAACTTTATAAAGCTGTCAATTGAGAAAAAGAAGTTTTGAAAAATAGAACTGACAATTATGTTGCCGAAAAATGATTCGAATGTTTAAAAAAATAAGTAAAACTTAAATTCAATAACGCGCAAAACATACATCAGCGATATGAAAAGTGCCGTGTACTATTGAACTACAACACCAATTTTTGCAGAGTATGGGGGCCCATAATAAGGATTAGAGAATCCTATCAATTCAAATCCAGAGGATCGATATGATGAGGACGAGGACAATGATAGCAAATAGAATAAATACGAGAAGAATTAATACGCAATTAAATGCTGTCTTGACGGAAAAGATTGTTAGACAATTAGTTTATGGAAATGGAGTGCACGTACGTGGTACCCTGGGCAACAATCGCCAAGTACCTTACGCCGATTGGGAAATCCTTTCACCGCGATGGCAAATATATTCCGGTGCACAGTTCGGCATGGCGGCTACTAGTGTCGTGGTCAGCGTGGCTAAGTTCTGGGCCGCGATAACATGTGCCATCGATACGATAAAAAGATTATGAAATTAAAGCTGCGTTCTAAGGACCTTTTCATCCCTCTTGCTCGTAAACAGTGTCATAAGATGCAGGCAAAATCGATCGTGATGTTTTTAATTATGCACACGGGCTTTTTCATTTCATTATCGCTCTGTGGATTTTTTAGGTCAAATTTAAGCAAAAAGTTTTTATGCTCGACAAATGTAAACGTAAATTTCGCATAAACTTTAAGTATAAAAACAAAACTAAGCATTTGCAATTTAACTATACTTTACTAAATTTATTTTGTGAATTCGAATTCTGCAGTATTTTTAGAATTTGGAAATTATTTATTTTATATCTAATACATTATGGCTGCATGCCTCTGCGCCTTTTATAATATTTTCGTTCGAGTTGTATTATCTATGGAAGAATAATAGTTGGCAATCTGTTTAAAAAAACCTGCCATTTGCAAAGTCTGTGTTAAATGTTGTGTTGTGTAGCGATATTTAATCATACAAGAAATAAATTATAGTTGTATCCATTTCCTAGCAAATGTGATGAAAAAGGTATGTAGCATAGGCAGTAAAAATTACAAACCTCGAGTCATTAAAGCACTCAGCCTTCGGCTTCGGGCTTTTAACGAACTCTCGTTAGTAATTTCTTATTTACCGCCCTTAATACACAATGCACGTACTATTTACTCGTAGATGAAGTTAGGATGTTCCTAGCGTCGTTTAAAGAGTGCTTCGCGCTATTATGCAATAACCAATCAAAACATACCTTTTATAATGAAGTAAGCTTCAAGGTCGGTAAATTGAACGCCTTGTTCGTCAGTTCGCTTTATCGGCGGCTGCTCTCGACGATGTTTCTCCGACGGTTCTAAGTACTTCAGCAAGGACAGACTTGAAGATTTTGAATCACTCGACTAAAAAGAGAAAGCATTTTGTATGTTATGTGTTTGCCATAAAAATATTCAGACATGACAAAATTTGACAGAACAAAATATACCGGTAACCAACGACGAACCCGTATGTCCGTGTCTTGTATTGTGATGCTCATTAATAGACACTACATCAAAATTACGTGATATAAAAAAAATATATGTGTATGACATATGTACATAAAGATATATAGTATACTAGGCGAAATGTCGATTCCCTACCAAAGGCTAGCTTATTTTCTTTTTTCACAATAGAATTGTATGAGCAGAATGCCCATTGCCATGTGCAAATTACTTACAATGGAATATTTTTTTCCATGAACTTAACATTTCACCTTTGATCTCAATTATCTCAAATGACAGGTTGAAATTTAAAACTTTTGTACAGCAATTAGTCATTTTAGGGTTAGATGAGCGTCATTTGTTGAGCTTTGTGAGTAAACTGTGATTAAAAAGGTAACTATAAATGTTGGAGGTTTCCGTTTGCCTCGTCGAACGCCTCAGCGCACGAATCCGCAGGACGCAGCCTTCAATAAAATTCGATAAAACTCTTTTCATCCTTTACATCATCTATCCTTCTCGCACTATTGCTGCTCCCTTCTTTATCGCCGTCCGATACCTAACCGATAAGTTGGCAATGTCAAAAGTGTAGTTTCTTACCTAAGACACAATATAGCTCAAAATTACAATAATGTGTCGTTAATTCTCCGTCGATCTAATTTGGCAATATATACGCGTAGAAAAACATTTGACTACAATCAGTGCTGTATACAAGTTCGACATACCATTTGCAACAGTAAATACATTCTGCTGTCTACTGTTTTACATGGTATCATTACATAAATAATAGGGGTTAAAGTATGAAATTGCCGATTTGTACTGAAAATC